GCATGGCAACGCACATACACGGATGAGCTAGCAAATTAGTAGGAAACTGTTAAAAGCTAAAAAAAAAAAGCACGTGAAAGCGGGAATTCAGAGAAGTAAACAGAGTACCAGAGTCAGTTTTCATCAAGAAGATAATTGCTGAACCTGTTGAAATTGAGTCCAAGTCATGGCAGATAGGTGGCAAAGCCTATGGCCGACCAACAAAAGTGGGGTGTTTAACAGGAGGGTTCCTATTGAGTCAGGACAGAAAAGAATTAGACTTTCAGTGCAAGGGGGAGATAAAATGACTTCCCTTGCGTGTTCCCTCCCGGGACCTGCCAGGATGATACTGAATGAGGGGGAAAATATCTTTTGTGCTAATTCACAAACAGAAGCCAGCATTTGTGAGGATTTATACCCTGAAAGCATACTACTCGAGTGATCTGAAAAACTTTAAGCCAAAAGTGGTTCTAGCTTGTAATGGTCCAAGATGCCTGGAAGAAGCAAATACAAATCATCTTTAGGGGAATCTGCTTTCAAACCAGGTCCAGTAGAATTCTTATAAAGTTCTAATAAACATCAGCTCTTATTAAAAGCAAAACAAAGCAAGGCATTAAAACTAAGAGCCAGCAGCAACAATAGACAATAGAATCAGACCCCAGTGGACGTCACGTATCGGAATTAGCAAATACTTGACAGAAGGGATGAAATCTATGGATAAAGAGCAAGCAATTAAAACAAAAAAGTCCAAACAGATTTGGGAAAGAACCAAATAAAACTAGGAATATAAAATAACTGAAATTAAAACCTCAGTATATCAGCTTTAATTTCAGATTTGATGTAGCTGAAAATTGAATTATGAACTGGGAAATTGATAGAAATACATCAAGCAGAATGTAACACAGAGCAACAGGGAAACAGAAAATATGAAAGAAAAGAGCCATGGAGGATAGGATACGAAAGTCTAGCAGACATCTTATCAGAATTACAGATCGAGAAGGGAGCAAGAATGGGGTTAGAACTATTTAAATTCAGGATAAAGAAACCCACATACATTACAATGTGGCTGCAGGACACCAAAGGCAAAAGGAGATCTTAAAACCAGTCAGAGAACCAAGGCAGATTACTCTCAAAGGAAAGACAGTGAGGCAGTAGAATTCTCAAAAGCAATAATGAAAACCAGGATTCGATGGAGTAATATGTTCAAAATGACAGGAGAGAAGCACTGTCAATCTAAAATTCTACTCCTAGTGGAAGTACTTTTTAAGGTAATGTTCCCAGTAGATCCTCGTCAGAGAAGATTTTGAAGGAAAAGGGAAAATGATGCCAGATAAAAAAAATTCTATTATATGTGAATAAACCTGAAGAAAAAAGACTGAAATAATAATAGAAATAGTGTTTCATGGAGTTTATTAAATTACACTTAATTTAAACTATAATTAAGACAAACAGCAGCAATATCTGCCCAGCAGAGGTTGGAGGGACGCGTGTGGCGCTGAGGGAACCTAAGAAGGGTGGAGATGCTGACCAATGTTAGACCTTCGTGCATTTGCGTGTCAGGGGTGGTTACTAAATTTAGAGGAAGAGTACAAAATTTCCAATCTTAAGATGGGAAATTATGGAATGAGAAAAAGAACAATCTTAAGGAAGGTAAGAAAGAGAAAAAGAAACATAGACTACATGTGGGACAAATAAAAAGCAACACTCTTAGAAGGAAAAATAAACCCAAATATTCTGGTGCTTATATGAACGCCAACTGTGAGTCTTGGCCTGTAACTTCCTTAAAGGGAAAACTGTGCTAAAAACGCAGCTGTAATGCCACGGATACTTGTATTACAAGGACTGGATTACAGGCTTAGAACCGCAAGCTACCCGGGTTTGTATTTCTTTGATGTTTGACTGTGTGTCTAGTTTATGACTTTAGGCTGTCGACACAGCTCCACAGCAATCAGAACCATGGGGAGTGTTTATAAGGTGATAATTTATTTTACTGATGTATTTACAATATTCCTTTCTGTCAAAACAAAGTTATTTCATTTGATTGTTCAATTAGATAAACTGGAATTAATATGCGGTTGCTTATGAGAGTACAAAGTGTTAAGAGGGCAGGTTTAAAGGCTTCTTTTTCAGGTGTGAGAGTAAATATAATTTTTTTGGTAGTTCTCTTGTTAGAAATGATTTAAATGATCCTTTCAACTGAACGCTATTTCACGTTTAACTGGAGCTGTTGCACTGCAACATTCCACATAAATCCTGCTCATATACACAGGAAAAATTCCAGTTTAATCATTAGCTGTGATGAAGAATGCTTGATCATTTTCATCAGAGGATCTTTTTTTAGCCATTTAATAAATATAAGTTGAATAGAGAGGTAGGAGGGTTTTGAACAAGAGAAAAGGTGAAGAACGAATGGTATGTAAAGTTGGAATGGGAGAGTGGATTTTCTTGAGATGGAAAATACACTGAAACTAAACACAAACTTGAGGCTATCTGTGTAGACAAAACGCCATTTTAATGAGGGCATTCTTGAGAAATTCATCCTCTGCCTTCACACCTAGCGTGTTCAGGACTATTCCGCTATAGAACACGCATCCACTACACAAAGCTTACGTGATCATTGGTCATGAGCTATAAAGTATCTTACAATATGGATGTTGAGTGATTGGATAGGATACTCAAAAGCTTCATACCAACCTAGAAACTCGTAACATACAAATTCAGGCCTCAGGAAAATGATAAGATATGGACCTTATGTGTCAGTCGAAAATGGCAGAATCTCTCCATATTAATTCTATGAATTTCTGGCTTCTACACAGTGTGCTACTCATGGAAGTTGAAGGGTGTGGAAGATGCTTCTGTAAGTAAGAATCATCCTGCATAAAATCTCCTGTCAGAAGCTGTTACTAATTTTGCATTAATTTCCTGAAATGTCCGCAAAGAATGCTGATAAAGGCATAATCCAGACGCACAAATTGGTTTTTACTATGAGTAGAACTATGATTTTTTTCCCCTTTCAACATAGTATATCTCACCTGTGTTTAGGAATTCAACTTGAATTAACTATGCATAATCAGATCTAAACTGGCCACAAACAAATTCTTGGTGTTCACATTAAGGTTCAGGTACTCATGGGCTGGCGATACTATTAGAATAATACACATTTTCTTAAACATCTATTTTGCCCTCTAAATGATCAGGCTTTCACTAGCCCAATAAACTACTTATGTAACATCGATTAGTCTCCGCTTCCTTTTTTATCTTCCCTCATGAGAGGCTGGCTGCCTGACAGCAGGGAGAGGCTGTGAGGGTGAGGCGTCCGCATGGGGGCTGGTATTTAGCAGCACAGCGGTTCTAAAATGTACCGGCGGTTTGCTTCCATCAGCGACGGTAAGACAGCAGACAGGGCCATGCATGTCGCGAAGGAAGACGTTCACAGGCACACAAACCTAGAAGCGGGCTGCCCCGCACGTGGTGCAGGGTCATCAGGAGGCAGAGACGAGAGAGGGCAGCGCATGGCCCAGAGCCTCACTGGGGTTCTCGCGGGAAGAAGGGGCGAGGCAGGCCGGGTCTGCTGCCTACGCTTAGCACTGGGCGGTCTGCACGCTTTCAGTGGGCTCTGCGCTGGAGAGGGCGTCCCCAGTCGTCCCGTACCCGGTCCTGGGGGGACCTAGGGCAGGGGGAGTACTGGCGTGAGGGGTGAGGGTTTGATAAAGAAGATTGGGGTGTGGGCTCCCGATTGGTTGGTGCCTTTATCAGAGATGGGCTCCCAGGGGAGTCGTTCACTACCCCTAGGGATTAGCTACCCCGCGGGGGGTAGTCTTTCTGGGATGAAGGCCCCAAATGCCAGAGCATTAAGAACCCTGAAAACAATCGGTCAGCAGAGCAGCCTTGTTTCTATGATCAGGATTTATTTATCTGTGTGTCCCTATTTATCTGGATTGTTAAAAAAATTAGTGTCACTGTTGGGTCATATAGACTAGTGTAGTGTAGTTAACCACAAAGATCAGAATCCCCCAGTGTTGTCTTCTGTTTTCCAAAAACAAAATTCTTGCAAAAGTGACCAAAAAAGGGCTGACCCAAGTGACAATTCATTAGTGATATTTTTAAAAAAGGAGGAGTATGAAGTACTCAGGTAGCGGCCAGTGTTTTTCACAGTAAGCAGGCACGGGAGTCCTTCTCACTGGGACCCGTTTGGAAGATGCTTGACTGATAACCGAGGCAGCAAGAAGATTATTCTGACGTTCTGAGTGACGTGGACTTGGTTGTGGTGCAATTGTTTGAAAAAGCTGCCTTGAATAGTTGAAAGAGTTAACTACCTGTTGCAGCTAATTTCCAACCTAAGGACAGTGAAGACCTATCTTTCTATACAGATAAGGTGACACAGACAGACAGACAGACAGACAGACAGACAGACAGACATATCGGCATGGGGTTAACAAAAGGTAGATAATGAAACACCCAGGATTCTGCTTCTGGAAGGAAGTGTCTAATATCTCTGGCTCTTCCTTTTTTTCTTCCTCAGTATGAAATGTTTGGGTCAGATGATCTCAAAGATTTTCTCTAACCATAACACACACACACACACACACACACACACACCCATGGCCATCACTGTATCCCTGGGATGTTGCCTTCTTAAAGTGGTTAAATTGACACTGAGTCTTTGGAATGAGTGGTGAATTAAGCTTGATCTTGGATGCTGAGTCCTGTAAGATTTATTCTTCCTTACTCACCATGCAGATCCTATACTGTGTGGGTACAATCTACTTTTGTTTAATACATCTGCATTTAAAGGATTTGTTAGGGACTTAAAATGTATTGAACCAGCAGGTGATTTAATCTATTTGGACTGTAACCTCATGCTTCATTACAGAAGTACGTCCCCAACCAATGTTTCTCGTTTGGATGATATAAACTTGCACCCACCACAGGTCAAGGAAGACATCAAAGAAGTATTTTTTTGCTTTTTTTTTTTTAGGCAAGGAGCATTTCCATAGGTTCTAAAAGTAACGTAGTCGTACCTTAGAGGTATCATCGCCTTCATCCTCATGCACTGAACTGGATGGTGATGGAGTCGCGGACTTGCTTCCGGGAGGAGATGGTGAGTTGTGGGGGACGCTGCTCCCTCCCATGTTCAATCCAAGCTGAGCACTTAGCTGTGACTGGTTGATGGTGGTCAGCTGGCCATGCTGCATCATTCCTGGCTGCTGCCTGATGTCTGCGGGCTGACCCCTTGGTCTCATGGCTGCCATCTGAGGATGGGAGCTGTATTGAGTTCCTTCCGGGTTCCGTATATCTTGCATCTGCCAAAAAAATGGATGGAAATAATTTTTTACAAGACCTATTTCTGGAAAAATTTTTTTAAAAAATTCCCTAGGCTTTAAACATCCCGTAGGATGTCCTACTCAACTATACATATTTCCGCCTCCTCCCCAGAGCAGAATAATCCTAATGGTATATATCGCCCCAAAGGTGCACAGAATTTGAGAATTCAGCCAACATCACATTTCATTACTCAAGACCTGCTTAATTATATCTACAGCCTTTCCTTACCAATGGAATGCAAACACACATCCTTAACAGATATTTATGGTGTAAGTTTAAAAATATTGATGCTTATTAGAGCATCAGTATTGTATAACTGTTAGTGATTACAGCATTCACATAGTTCATGAAACTCTACTTCTTTGATTCTCATCATTTATGAAAGGTTTGGAAAATTAAGCGTACTACGATTCTCAGCTTAATTCTATCCAGACTGGCATTGGTCAAATGATCTACTAACTTCCGACACAGAGCACTTACAGGCTGGTGTTAACCAATTGATTAATTGACTATTGAAATGATTTGACTACATAGTCAGATTTGAAAGAAAAGCTGTAAAGTTGCAAGGTCACCATATTAATCCATGATGTTCTCTGGGTCACTGCTTTTTAGCCTTAATGAGACTCACTCTTACAATTCAAGCAATGAATTTCGTCTCTGCAAGGATTAGAATTGAAAGCACTGGAGGATGAAGCTCTTAACGTACCTAGAGGTCAAATGTGTTGTATAAGAGGAGCGTGGTGGATTTCAGTTAATGTGTCTCTGGCATTCTCAAACTTAAAATAATGGGCAATATTCTGTGGTGCCTTCGGAAGCAGCTCAGTGCTGTTCACTCGGAGGGGGCTTGGGGAGTTAGTGGAGGGAGAGGTTTATAAAACGAGAGAGGAAAAAGAAGAAAATGGAAAACAGAAGGGCAGTGAAGAGATATATGGTTAAAGTCACATTTTGGAGTGGAGAAAGTAAAATTAATAATGCTATCTTTTTCTGTTTCATCAAAAAAAAAAAATCCCATATAGTGTCACAATGCCTAGTAATTACCCGCCTACAAATGTTATCATGACACGGAAACACTGTAAAGGTCAATTAAGTAACTTAGTCAGAGGTAATAAAGTCACTTCCTACCAGTGCCCTCTAGTCATTTCACCAACCTCCTCGCTACATCCCCCTGAGCCTGAGGTGGCGGCTGAAGAGGCGTCGCCCGTGTCCTTTGTATCAGGCTCACCAGGAGGTCCTGCTGGTTTCTTGTTAGTCAGTGTACGTCCTAGACCTTTCCAGCTCTCGCTACTGCTTCATCCTCAGACTCAGGTGACGTGGTAACGGGTTAGGCTGGCTCCATGCTTCTGTCCCCACTGAGTTCCTGGTTCAAATTGACCTTTTCCCCATAATTTAAATTGTATTCCTCCAATCTTTCAAAAGCAGCTCATAGTTCTCCTTTCTGTAAAGTCCCTCATCAAGCAGTTGTTACTACTCAGTGAAACACGTCGGAGCACAGAGGCCCTGAGCGATGTTCTCAGTTGACAGAAGAGGAGAGACTGGGGGCTTTGAATGTCTGTTGAGTAAATATATAAGTGCCTGAATAAAACCCAGAGAGCTTAAAGGACTCCCCCAAACTGCAGAGTTGGAGTTAAAATCTACATCTCTCCATTCCAGCCTTTGACACTTCCTACCGTGTTCAGCAGCGAGTCACCACTTGACGTGTCCCAGGGAGAGAGTTAACAGCTCCGGGTAAGCGACGGCGCCTGGTCCAACACTGTCCACCCCTGATCGATGGCCTTTATCTCGTCCATTCATGTTGCCTCCACTCACATTTACTAAAATACCTTCCATTCCTACTTCACTGTTCATGTAGCTTCTATAACCTGATCTTCCTTATGAAATAATAGCGGCTTTCACAGATATCCATAAAGCTGTGCCCCGGAGTCACTTCACGCCTACACGCTAATGTCCTGACGTCCTGTTGTGTTTTTTCTTAGGCTCTCAGCAAGTGGAACAGCTCCCCCACTGTGGGCACAGAGTAACGGATGCCGGTGAAGGGCACCGTCCTTGCAGGGCGGCCCCTCTCCCAGCCCTGCACCACATAAAGCACTCGTAAGCATGTTCACACACGTGTGTTTGCAGGACACATTTTCATAGCCTTGCAAATTAAAAATGTTTACTAACAAAATCATACTTTAACTAAATTATCTTTCCAGAAGTGTGTAACTAACTGATATCTTTGTTTCTCTGTCACATAAATCCCGTTACAAAGCATGAACAGTTTATGACCTGTTTGGAGCCCACTTCTCATTCTTCCAGAAATACTGTAGTTTTAACATGACTTTGTAGGTGATTTCTAAGCTGACTTACACCCAGCGTGTCCAGGCTAATGACTGCAGATCTCACTGTAGAGCACCCATGGCTCCCACTGCTTTGTAATCTTTCTGATTGTTTTATCAGGCTAATTAATTGTGGTAGATCTCTGAGGACTAACATTTGTATTTCCACCTCTGGAAGTTAGCAGAAGGAGGTGGGCCTGGCTGAAGGGGGGTAAGGAGTCAACCTGGGGAGGCACAATGAAGTACTACTCCACAGGGTACCACTTCTTCAACAGACTCATCATTAGCTCAAAATATCATGTCACCAGTGGTGTCAGGCCAGGCAGGCAGCGGTTTTAACACTGAATCAAAGACCAATTTTCCCGTGTGGAGGGTGATAAGTACAAATTAGAGAGCACACTCATCTCTTTAGCTCTCAGATGCACTTAGAAATGGTCAGATCTTAACACCCATGGTGACATTTCTGAATTAGGAGTTTTTCCATTTTGCCTTGCTTTCACAGGAGTCAGTTCGGTATTAATCACTGCCTAACGTATAATATGGGAAAAATTAAACTGGAGGGAGGCCGAGTCTGAAAACTAAGAATAATTAGTTAGCTCATGAAGGTTTAAGCATATGTTTTGATCACTGCTTTCCTTCGAGAATGGTGCTGACTGACCACAGGTCTTAATGTCAAATACAAAACTTCAATGTGCAAAATATTATTTCCTGTTATGCTCCAGTATTTTTAACTAATTGTGAGTAATTCACTTAAGTCACACTTAATCTCAACTGCTGTTTTCTCTAATTCCTCTCAACTCCTCCGTTGTGTTTTCTTCTCCCTACAACTTTCCATCCCTAGATGGTTCCCTGACATTCTCTTTCTGAGTCATGTTTCTTCCACCCAGCTAGAAGTCATCATGGTCTTCTTAATGGGGAACGTTCTAAATCAAAGTGTACAGTTCTGACCCAAACTCTGGGTCTAACTCTGCCAGGTGTCACCCCTGCTGGACACATGAACAAACTTTTCCTTTTCAAAACTGCTTTCTATTGTGTGTCCAGTTTCTCTAGATGACACCTTCATCCTCCCTGTCACCTCTACTCAGAATGTTCTAGTGATTTCTGGTTCTTTCCTTCTCTATCAAACTCTTGAGGGTTCCACGGAGTCTACTCCAAAATACCCCTCCCATCTGCCCTTCCTCCCACTCGCACACCATTCACATATTTCAGGCCTTCATTATCTCCTTTTTTTTTTTTTTTTTTTTTGGTGGGGTGAGAGGAGGAGAGGAGTTGCAATTTAACTTTTTAATTTTTATTTTTTTCAATTTTTTTCTCAGTGGAGGTACTGGGGATTGAACCCAGTACTTCATGCATACTAGGCATGTGCTCTGTCACTCAGCTCTTTCCCTCCCCCCACTACCTCTTTACTTGCAATAGCTACTCAACTAAAAAGAATGTCTTCACATTCACCCAGGAGAGTGCTGTAAAATTAATCTTCATGAGCCATAGACTCAGAAACTTCCCAATGATACCTTCCTACCAAATTGAATCCAAACCCTTCAGCATGTCATTAGAGGTTCCAGAGAAACATTATCCTTACCACTGCCCTTCACACACTTGATGGTTCAGCCAAACCCTATTAATTGCCTTTCTTTGCCTCTTTCTCCCTTGAACATGTGTCTTGGTCTCTGCTGCTTTTTCAGCACTCACTTTCTGAGCATTTTCTGTCTGAAATTTTGAAAAACAGTTAAAAAAAATCCATACTTGGCTCAGTGATTTGTGGATTGCACAGAACTTTACCCATTGAGTCTTATAATCCCCCTTTGAGGCAGCCCTGTAGGAATGGCTGTTTCGCACAAGCTTACTGAGGATCGCAGAGGTTAAATGATCTCTTGAGCAACAAAGAAGAAAGGGGAAATTTGCTTATTTTACATATTTGTGTTCTTTTCACAATTCCACGATGCCATTACCATATCCATATACCCAAACCCTGAATGTAATTTAAAATCAAGTTTGAAAGTCAGCTCGTCTACAAAGCTTTGAGAATCTTATTCTGAACTGCCAAAGCATTCTGTTTGTACTTCCTTTGTGGGACCCCACTTTCAAATTTCTTTAATGTGTATGTACCTTCTAGACAGTAAGCTTGATTTGTATATGACAAATGCATTTTTCAGGCCTTCCTGAGAGCTCTTTTAGTTAAATTAGGTGTTCCAAGCATTTAGAAAACACTTGCCTGGTCAGCGTATACATGAGGACATGAACACTGTAAGTATAAACTGACTTAAACTAGTTTGCTGATCTTTATCTTCTCCCGTGAACTTCATTGAGCATTAGTTCCAAGAAGAAAAGGCAATATGAACAATGTGTTTCCATTTCAGGCAGAAACCTCGAGCTGTACCCTCTGACACTCATCGCTTTTGTCCTGAGGGACAGGCTGGCAGGATTCAGCTGTCCAGCCAAAGATCTGGCCCGTTAACAGGGGGCACTGCCTCCTTCCGCTGCAGCTGTGAATGGCCACACAATCATGATTTTTCGCCAATGAAATGTGGGCGAAAGTCTTGTGTGGTACTGCCAAGAAATCTTGAAGGAAGGGCTCACCTTCCTTTCTTCTTTTCTGCTGACAAAAATATGGGTGGGTTAGTGCTTGACAAGAAGTCTTGGTCCAAGAGGCAGCGCCTTGAGGG